AAGATTAAGTTGATGATTTTAGCAAATACCATCCTTGTTCATTCAATATTGTCATGACTGTTTAGATTGCATGGATAGAAAAGTCCATTTATGGAACTGAAAACTCATAGTTCAGTTGTCTTAAAAAATCATGGGGATAAAATTTGTATGGATCTTTAAAGGACTATTTTGATGCCTCGACAAGGTAAGTGGAAAGGACTATTTTGATGCCTCGATAAGGTAAGTGGAACGTGCCAATACAGAGTGGCCAATAATATCATAAGCATTAGTTTAGGATGACTTGTAGGTTTCTAGCCTTGCTTTATTTTAAAGATATGAATATATATATTTATATATATATTATGTGATATTTTTATTAAAGTGTGGTTTTTGTAATATAGTTTTGTTACTCTTACTCCAGTGGCCATATAAAATGTCAGTTTGACCTCATCATTCACAATAATATTATATTTTGAGACCATACTGTTTTTATTAACTTTAATTCATTTATCATTGTTTTTTAACTTGTATTTGTATTAATGAATTTTGCACAGCGTTCTAACTATCAGTCAACTAGGTTCTTCACTCCCACACATTGCATTCCTCATACAAATCCTGTTATAACAAAATTTTCCATTTCTGTTTGTTGGTCATCAAGTAACTCAGACTGCAAACGACGCAGATTCTATTGATTAATCATCATTGATGGTTATCAGTTTATCATCCTCTTCATGAACTTTGATACCCGGGAAAGACCTCTCCTGTCATCCAACCAAGTGATGTGCTAGAAAAGGATCTTATCCCCAAATCCGACACGACATCTTAGGTGCTCGGGAATAAGCCCAGTAGTTTGCTAAATACCCTTCCAAATATGACCACTATTTCTATCAGCTGTTATGTAAAAAACGTTTATAATCTACAGAAGGCAGATTTTGCTTGGATGACAGCAATTGGTTCGCCTAGTTTTTCAGAAATTTCAAGCCCAATTTCATTAATCTCCCTCGCACTACCGATGCCTTCCTCCATTCTGTTGGTCCAAGAAAACAGTGGACCAAATAACCGAATGGGTTTTCTGAGGATTTGGACGATTCTTCTGAAAAAAAATTCTAATCAGTCGGTCTACTGAGTCACAAACACTTTTAAGAAAGCATTTTTGCACGGTTTAAGCCAGAATGGCAGAGAGAACAACTTAATAAGAGTGGATCAACCCACCAAGTTCTGACGATTAGTTGGCCATCCTTGGAGTTTAGCAGAAACCATATCAACAACGGTTTTAGATGATCTCTTCCGTCCATAAATTACAGAATTACTATAAAGTGATTTTATAGAATTAATCCGACATTTTCTTATTTTTCCAACAATTAGCAACGTACAACGAATAAAACATTTCAAACTAACTGGTTTATACAAAAATCTTTGTTTCTATTTATCTGATCATGACAAAATCAGATAGTAAACAACCAACCAATTGCTAAGGTGGATATGATACTGGACTGCTGTATCTAAAAGGGGAAAAATGAATCGAAAATTTAACCTTCATACATCAGTCAAGATTAACGAGGATACAATCACAACATATGCAAGAAAAAAGAAAAGGGCTATTTGAATAAAGAACTTTGGATTTTCCCTCATGTTTGGGGATGTCACAGCCCTGCAAAAACCAGGAAACAAAAGATCCTTCCATCATAGGGAGATAACTAAATATGCAAACAAGACGCAGATTTAAGAGGAAAAAAAGAGAATCTTATTAATTTTCCAGCAAATCTGAATGTAGATATTACCTAGCAATCCGCTGAGAAAATCGCTGAAAGGGCAAACTCTGAATGAAGACAATGCCAGGTCCAGTTAAAACAGCTGTCACTAGGTTATCACCCTGCAATTCCACAGCTGCAATCAGTGGAAATGATTCCAAGAAACCATATCCAAGAAATATGTGTACAGATACTAGCAAGATACGAGCATGAAAAAAAGGCAGGACCAACAATCAGGGGTCCTGTATTGTATCAACATGGCTGCAACGCAATTAAATCCGGAAACCAGGCCCTCATTGAGTTATGTTTAAAATCTTGAAGCCAGCTCATTCAGTCAATGGTGGGTACCTTGACCAATCAGCTCAAGTTTGTCATTCTTCACATTACGTATTAAACAACTATGTAATTCATAGAAAATCTTGGGCTTCAACTGACAGATAAAAGTTCTTGATGAAAGAAAGCAAACAAGAAAAGAAAAGAAACCAACGTACTCCAAAGACTGCCCTTCTCAAGGGACCATTGTATTTGATTTGGACATTGACCGAAGTAGTAAGACCAACAATGCAAGAAACGTCAACAGCCAATATCTCACCCACCTCAAGATTTTTCTGCACAACTAGCAAAAAGAAGCAAACCAGAGAAGTTTATGTAATCAGGCTAAGTGAGGAAAATACTAGGAATTTTAGATTTCATTTGGTATATGAAACATTTTCAGATATTCATTTCCTATATAAGTATATATTTATTCACAAAAACATGCATAGAAATGAAAACAGTACTGAAAAATAAAAGTAAAAACAACAAAAAAGTTGCTTCTACTGTTTTCATGAAAACTGTTTTTTAGTTTATATTTTAACACCATCCACTAGCATTCACATATTCCAACATTTTCATGTATAAAATACATATATGTGTATAAAAAATAAAGACTAGAATATATTCTCATGTACCAAATGCAGCTTTACATTCTTACTAAAAGAAAAGAGAAATCTATGCAGGATATAGACACTCAAGAATCAGTTGTGAAATGTTAAAAATAGGCAATAAAAGCAGGATGGGCTGATAGGCAATAGCTTAAACGTAGGTAGGAAAACCTGTTCTAATCTAAAGTAGATTACAGGAAAGTGATTAAGTCTGCTTGAATTCTTAAGGCCATGCAACTGGAATATAATAATACCAATCCGTCCATGCCTTATCTAGGTTTTGGCTACCTTGGTGGGTTAAGCCCAGTGCTCATTTACCTAAGCCAGTCTATTTAAATCTCTATACTCTCTATTCAGTTCTTTGAATAAAATCAAAAGATCCAAAGTCCATACCAGATCCACCAGCAAGAATAAACGCGAGCCCCTGCCCAGTTAGCTTCTGCCTTAGAAATCCCTGTTATTAACATGCCCAACAAGTATGCAAGATACACAATATCAAAGGTTTAGCAAACAAAGTGGAGACAGATTTTATATAAAAACCAGTTTCTAACGGTCCAATGTCATAGGAGTGAGGACAACTGAAAAAAAAAAGAAAGAAAGAGGAATAACACTAATAAGTATTACCTCTGCACCAACAGCCACATTTCTTGCCCTCTGGTCCACTGTATTACTGACCTTTACATCATTGACTGAACAGAGAAAAGCATCTGGCTGTAAAACAGTTTGACAAGGTTATATAAGAGTAGAAAAGTAAAGGAGCACAAAAGGGAAATTATTTATACTTCAAAAAAATGAATTACAAAACTGCAGAAGACTAGGTCACGCAAGAATAAAACAGAAAAGGGAATAGCAGATGAAATTATTTGTAGAAATGAATTAATCAATTGCAGAATATTTTGAAGAATTCATAGTTACAAGATTGATAGAATATTTAAAGCGAGCTACAATATGAAGTATGTTGGCCAACCTGGCAGATAATCTCCCCGCCAAACATTGCCAAATCAATCTGTAAAATCAGTGTGAACAAGGCATGTAACAGAAAACCCAACCATTAGCTCGGCTACATAGGAAATATAAAACAAATACACCAATTAAACTTGCTAAGTTTTGAAGCACAAACTGGAAGAATCCTCGCCAAAGAAGGTGCAGCAATTCCAACAAAGCCATCATTTGGACCAGGGTTTCGAAATCCTACATTAACAATGCTCTTTCCAAAAAGCCAATGCCAAACTCCTACTTCATTTTCAGGGATGTAAGTGTTTTCCATTTCAATGGACCCTGACATGAAGCATAGGGAACCTAAAATGTACAAACGTATCAGTTGAAAGCACATGTGAGTATGAAAAATTTTACAGTCCTTAGATTCAAGAATAAAATGTCCAAGCACTCTAGCACAGTGGCAGAATGCTTCTCACTGGGCTGTTAATGACGAGGGTTCAATCCCTTCGTTCTCCATACTACATGCCCTTTAGGGCTTACCAAAAGAAGCATTCATGATTTAAACATAAATGTCTTCTTCATTTGGCTGCTGTGCGAAAAAGAATAAGCCACTTAAACAGACTACATAAAGGAGAACTCCTGAAAGCTAATAATGAATTACATTATCCACGTAGAGAACTGAAACTTACCAGGCTTAGCAATAACCTTTTCTTGTGGCTTTAACATTATCTGAGAATGCAAGGAGAAACCACAGAAAAAAACAGGATGTAGTCTGCCGTTTGGTAAAACAATAAACTTCTTTCTTTTGGCAAAAAAGGAGCGTGGTCATACAAAGGAATACAGAAAATCATATATCTACCTGAACCACCTGAGCTTCACCACCCAAAATCTGAAAAGGTATAACATTGTCCTGGGGACTCTGCATCACATTATCGTTCATAAGATTATGCAGCAACAGGAATATTTGCCACATAAACAATCAAACCAAACTCTAGAGAAGGAACAAGAATGAACTTAAAACTAGGAGAATGTACCAATATGCAGTACAAGCATCTTGTAGAGGAGCATTTTGAGTACAATCACAGCTAATGACACGGTTTACTAACCACATATAAGAGGCTAAAAAGTTCATGTAAAAAAATATTATCAACAAGTCTAATTACTTCAAATTAGGCAGTACCGAGTGTTAAATCAGTAAATCCAATGACATAATCAACCACCTGAATAACCAGAAAGTTCATTCAAAAGTTGTATCACTCTTACTTAAGTAATTGAGAGGAAAATTGCATTGGTTAAATTCTATTGCTAAGATCTGAATCAGAGATCTTTCGAAATGAAGGGCCAAACGTGTTTTTGGATTAGCCGTTTGAAGAGTATCAAAATAAGATGGAAGGATTTTGACCCCAGTTTCAGTTTTGTGATGGGAAATGGCAGCTCAGTTTCTCTTTGGCAGGAGAACGTAGAGAATGAGCATATGACGTCCCAATTTTCCTGCATAAGGTAGTAACAAGAATGCTGCATAAGCTCTTGCCTTTCCTTTGCTACGAGGTCATCGTTTGGGAAATGCCTTTATAGCAAATTGTGCAAGATTGAGACTTCAATTATGTTAGTAGTTTTTCTAAAGTCTAACATGGTGCAGGGAGAACTTGGAGTTGGTGGACAAAGTGATATGATGTTGCATCCAGATGTGCATTTTAATGACAAATTCTTTTTCAAGATCCCTGGAACAGTTGACTGAGGAACAATCCTTGCAAAGAATTTTGAACAAATTAGTCCTTCTCAAGAAAAAAAAGTCATCTTTCATTTGCTTGGGAGATGAGTTGAGGAAAATCGCTGGGAAAGAATTTTAACTCTGGACGGATTGAAAAACATGGGCAGGATCATTGTTAACGGTTGTTATAGCTGTCTTAAGGCTGAGGAGACGTGTAACCACCTACTTTTATGGTGTCCTACTGCTTATAATTTATGGTGTAAAATTTATGGTTTATTAGGGATTAACCGAATCATCTCGGGTTCAGTCGGGAGGGAGATTTGGGCTTGGGATGGTTTTTATGTAAAAAGAAATATGAAAAATATCATTCCTTTAACTGTTTTTAGGGCATTTGGAGAGAGAAAAATAGGAGAGCTTTTAATAGCGCTGAGAGTAGTATTAATAGACTAATAGAAAAGTGGATACATTTATTCAGATCGATTATGCTAAGTCATGATATCACCAATGATGTGGATTTTGGGGATGTCATTAACATATTAATTTTTATGTAAATGCTTTTGAACATGGGTGGTACCCCCGTTCTT